TATACTCTCTCTCTCTCTCTCTCTCTCTCTCTCTCTCTCTCTCTCTCTCTCTCTCTCCCTCCCCCCTCTCTCTCCCCCTCTCTCCCTCTTAAATTATAAACGAAATCTACTCAGTGAAGTAATAATTGTTGAATAACGACGATTAATTAAATATCGATCATTGCGAACAATTTTGAAACTTTAATTGTCTGATATTTCGAAGAATTCTAAATATAGTAAAATAATAATAATAATAATAATAATAATAAAAATAATTATCTGCTTGATTGACAATATAAATACGAGATACGAAGCGAGAGATAAAGATATAAATAATCATTTTAAGAGAGAAAAAAAACGATATCGTGCAAGCCGGTTTTTTTTTATAGACTTTTATGATCGTAAGATAATTTTAGATTCGAAAAAATTTCCGCATATTGAGAAAAGTTTATTTTATAGAAATTTTGTTAAACGAAATACTCGTTTAAACGAGCGTCGAATCGTATTCGATTAATATTCATAAAATGTCTCGATCTTTTGAAAAGTGAAAAATAATCGATCATTTACATAATTGGTAATTACTTAAGAAGTGAATAAATCACGCGATATTTCTTTTACAACAATCGTCAACTTCGATTATTTCTTCTACGTCTGATTTAAATTAATTCGTTTCCTTCCCCCCCCCTCCCTCCCCGTTTCTTTTTCAATCAATATATCAAATGTAATGCGCTGCCGATAATAAAGATAAGTCGCACGTGTAAGGATCTAATTAATAACAATAATACGAAGTAATCGTTCCATATTTGCGAGTAATTTAATTAGCAGTTTAATTAGTAAAAAGTAAAAAGAGGATAATAATTTAATTAACAAATTTGAACGAATATTATTATCGCATTATATATTTCACAAAGAGGAAATTTTTATACTGAATACTGAATCTTCTTTCAAGCGTGTGATTCTCTTCCTTTCCGTTCTTCCCTTTTCAAATCGACGAACGGGATCTTTTTTTTAACTAGATAGGTAGATAGATTCAAGAAACCGCTCTTAATCGAAGGTTTATTGACCTTAGGCATACGGGTTTTACAAGTTCATTATAAATTCTCGAATAAAATTTCAATATACGAACGTGTGTTTCGTATTTCCTACAAAACATTGACGTGTATTTGACCGTACCAATTTATTTACTTCTCCTATTTTTGACTCGTCACACTTTCCTCGAGAAAGCTACGTCGTATTATAAATAAACATTCTCTCCGAAACTGTGAACGAGTGATCGCGGATGTGGCCACCATTATTTTATTCGAACGAGCCGACGTGTTTGGCGCACGAGAATTTTTTTTTTTGCATATTTATTTCCACCGAATCATTGTCTCGGATGTTTCCGCTTATATCGCAACACCGACATCGAAGAAGAGAAACTCGAGGATTTAATTAACTTGCCAATACCAGTTGTAATCAGAAAAGCCAACAAACTTTCGATAGACTCTCGATTATCGCGAATAATTCTTTCCTTTTTTTTTTTTTTTTTTTATGCGAGTTAAAAGTGGAGCGAGAAAATACGCGCGTAATTCTTTACGAAGAAGTTTTGCCAAGAAGCGACGAGGGAACGGCCGTTACCGACGCATGGCTGGACATTCCAGGCTCTATACGCGCGCGGAATATACATATACGCACATATACACGGTTGGACTAAACCGAGGGACGGACAGATACATCCTGACCTTCGATACAGTTCGATTCGCCGTTGGATCGCCGTTACCAATTTAGAGATACAGGAAACGGGGGTACAGTTAGTTGGGAGGATCGATGGAAAGGCGAAAGAAAGAGGAGGAGTTAGAATGAATAGTGGAAAAGGAACAGGTGAACAATATCATATCGGCGATCTTTTTTCCTTTAAATGGAGTTTTCTTAATTTCCTAATGTCAATTTTATTACCCTCCTGACTTATTATCTCGTATTACCACGTGAAATTACCACCGTTTTTGTTGGTCGGAAGAAAAACGATATACATCTTCGAAACTATATAATCTTTGCTCGATCGAAATACGAGTCATTGATTAATGATTTTTTCTCGACATAATTGACACAATCCATTTTTATAAAACTTTAAGCGCAAAGAAAATTCTTCGAATGTCGCGATTTTTTACGGCTTCTCGAGTGTCGAATATTTTATTTTTTTGAAAACAAGTGTAAACAGCGAAACAAGCGATGATCGGTCGGTAAAATATCCGGTGAGTATGGTGGTCTATCGACTAATGCAGGTTTTTTAATTAATTTCTTGGCAGCAGGATGTCGCTGTTACGGTATCTCCTTGTTTCGGAAAAGAGTAACGAACTATTCCCTTTGCAGACCACTGTACGGTCACCGTAACTTTTTTACACGTTTGTTTAAGATTTTCATTGGCGTCCAACCGCATAAGATCATAGATTACAATTCTATTCAAAAATGACCGATTTCAAACTTTACGCAATGAGAAACGCCGTGACTTTTCATCTTCTCTCATTTTTTCGCTTTACACCACAATCAAACATTTTAAAGATTCTCGTTTCCATCTTTGAATTTTTGAAACTAACTCTCCGAAAGCTAACCTAAAATTTCGACGTGCTTCGGCTTAAATTCGTACGCTCCTCGAAAAACAGTTAAAACTAATAGAAAAGAGAACTTATCACACAAAGGAAATATAAGAGAACGAAATATAGATTAGGTAGAGTTTAAATCGTCATTTATTCTAAGATTGGCGATTTCACGTGAAATATATTGGCTCAGTGAATAAACATGGTTCGAATTTGAGACAGATGTTTCATTTTCGTTTGGATTATTGTATTTACGTAAAATAAAATCTTCTTCGAATTTATGTAGATCGCGTCTCTTTAGTCCGTGAGGGGGGAGGGACCACTTTGTTTCGAGCTGTGTAATACAAGTAATGGGTATTGTGTAGCGTGTAGTTGTACCACGTGTAATTGTACGCGGAAACGAGCGGTGAAACTCGTGTGCGCGTATCTCTTTTGTCTCGATTACTGTTACTCGGTGATGCCACTCTTAAATAATACACCATAGAAACATCGAATAATAATAGCGATGCGGTAACAGTTACGCGATTGTGGTGGGATTATTATGATAATTGAAAACTAGTTGCAACGTGCAATAGTGTAAATAGTGCGGTACAACGAGATCTTTAATATAATAGAACCATTAACTCAAAAATTTATCGAATTTTTCGTGATCTCAAATTTTTTTGCTTCCGCAATTGTCTAAAGATGAAATAAAATAAACATGTTTAAAACAGTATACATGTTAATTCTACGATTATCATATCAAATTTACGACTCGTTCCAAAGATTTTTTTTCTCTTACAATTTTCTAAAAATATCGTTCAGAGATAGATTTATCGTCGAAAAATTTCCACGCTGCGACAAGAAAGATCAATATCGATTAATCTCTCTCATTATCTACAAATATATTTGAAGCAGTGGCAAAAGATTTCCACTGCAATTTGTCCAATTGCAATCAATTCTAAAATTTAAAATTTTTTCTTTCACAATTATTAAAAAATGAAACACAGTGGCAAAAAATTTCCACTATATTTTATCCAATTGCAATCAATTCTAAAATTTAAAATTTTTTCTTTCACAATTATTAAAAAAATGTGAAACACAGTGGCAAAAGATTTCCACTATAATTTGTCCAATTGCAATCAATTCTAAAATTTAAAATTTTTTATTAAAACAATTATTAAAAAATGTGAAACACAGTGGCAAAATATTCCCCTACAATTTATCCGAATGCAACGTCACAAGCGAGGAGTGCACGAAGAAACCAGTATCAGTTCTAAAACTGCGAAACTGTATCTCGATAATCGGTTTCAAATTTTTATCAAAATATAACCATAGAACGATACATCCATCGTGAGCCGAAAAATAGTGTATTTCCAATTTATCAATCGGTTGGAATGTTTACAGGCGAGGGCTGCGTGGAGAAACCTGTGTCGACGTTATGGCGCAATTACGTTACCAGCAGCAGGCCGGACGTGTCGATGAGGCTGACGGTCACGAACGGCGGTTTGACCGCGACGACCAAGGATCACGGGCTGACGGAGTACTGGGCGCACAGGGTCACCTATTGCACCGCGCCCGCCTCCCACCCGCGTCTCTTCGTCTGGGTGTACAGGCACGAGGGGCGCAGGCTGAGGCCCGAGCTCAGGTGTCACGCCGCCCTGTGCAGCAAGGAGTCCACCGCCAGGAGACTCGCCTCGACCTTGAACGCCAGGTTGCAGCAGGCGCTCCTGGAATTCCGACGGGACAAGGTCTCCAGACAAAATGCTAGGTAATGCTAGAATCGATCCACGCTGCACGGAGAAAGCAGCATGGCTTCGCGAAATGTGTATCGATCCGTGTGGTGCCATTAATATCCCTTCTTTTCGACACGTTCTCGTAAGAATGAAAGAGGAAGGGAAAAGAAACGTTTTCGAGATCAAGAAGGAAATTTCCTCATTTTTTCTTTCAAGTGAAAATATCACGGGTGATAATGGAACAGAGTGACAGAAGGAAATTACCCGCTGCCAGCTAAAATGTCTCGTTTTAACCTGGTTAGTGTCCCATTAGCGTTTCAACAAGTCTCGTTATATTTCTTCCTCCTATTACACACGTGTACACACGTGTGTCTAATAATTTCTACGAAACGTTAACGCGTTAAAATCGTGAGCAAGTAAGGAATATTTTCAAATTTAGCTTGCCTCCTAAACGATGTATAATTCTCGTTGAAATTTAATTTGATCGAGCCACGCTTCAAGAAAGCGTTGGATCGTCGAAAACGTGGATTTAATCCCAAAGAAGAGAATGGAGGATAAGCGCACGAATTCGCTATAACGCGTGCACCTTTTCCTGTGGCGAGCAGGAGCTACCGTAAGGCCGTGGCCTCGCGGGACAATTTGGGTCGCGCTTCGTTCGTAGATCACGATCGAGCCGCGATCGAGTCACGATCCAGGTCGATCGAACGCTCGCGCGAAAGTCACGAATCGGGAATCGTGCCACCTCCTCCCCTTCTTTGAAACTGTCGCAGCATTTGCCATGCGCGCGAATAATACATTCGTATTATTAGCCCTTATTATCTGTTCGCGCTCCAACGGTTACTCTCAGTCACCATTCCACGCTCGATGCGACAACACGAGAGGTGACTCCAAGGACGCCGCTCAATGTTTATGTTTACGTTTGGTCTTTTCGAAGTATCGCTTCACGAATGGATTCTCCTGGAAGCTCTTTACGCGCAATCTTACGGAATAATGTACTGTCGAATGGTTAGATTTTTTTATCTCAAATTAAATTTTCGACGATATAAATATTATTTTTAATGCTTCCGAGTTTTGTAAGCACGGTAATGAAATTAGTTCGAGCGAAGGTGAGTTTGATGTTTCGTTATGAAATTGACGATAGAGAGAAGAAAAAAATGAAACATAAGAATAACAATGAAATGTGAGAGCACGTTATTGAGATTGTAAGGTTTGTAACGATATTTTATTATGATACTTGGCCTGAACAACCGAGGATCCATCTTGGTAATCACATTATCATTAAAATATTATTTCTTTTCACAAATTTTCATTCTTTGTACGCAAAGATACGTAAAGTATTAAAATATAAAATTTTTATACGTCAATTTGTCGGCAATTTGTGTCACCAGTCAAAAAAGGGTGAAAAACACTGAACTCGAATTCGAATTTTCGCAGGTTGTCGCTAGCAAACGCTCTGTACGAGAACCCATCATTGCCGCGGCGAAAGTTGCTTCTGAGCACGGGGGGCCAGAATTACCGGCCCCCCCTCGAGAGGTCGAAGAGCGCGCCGAAACTGTCCGCGATCGAGGAGGACATAGTCGCCGAGGAGATCGAGCAGCAGAGGATTCTTGACGAGTTGAGAACGTTGGAAAACTGCGTGGCGCGCAGTTGGCAGGAACAGGACAGCTGGAGGCTCGCCCGGCTGCTCGACGCTTTGAACCGCGAGTCCTCGGACGAGAATGGAAGCATATCGAGCGGATGCGAGACAGCGAGTACAGCGACCAGCGAAGAGAGGGCGCCAGCTGGATTGGACGACCACCATCACTCCACAGGTCGTTATTTCCATCGAATCGTAACGTACCTCGTTTAAGTAATTATATTTATTCGTTTATGCCACCTCCTTTTTCTCTTTCTCCCCTGTCTTCTTCTTAACTCGTAACACCGTGTGATTTTGCTGGACGGGTTTGCAGGCGATGGAACGGAACAGCAAACGGACAGAAGGGCGATGTTCCCGAGCGAGGCGGTGGCCAGGACCGGCCCAGGACCTCGAAGAAACTCGGAGGGCTCCCCAAACTTCATGACCTGCGCGGGGAGTCCCCGTTTCCATCGTCGAAACGTGGTCGTGCACGGGGAAAGGTTCTCGGCCCGAAACGACGAGGAGGAATCGATGGAGGAGGAGGACGAGGAGATGGAGGACCCAGCGTCCCATCACGTGTTCGACTTCGAGGACGTGGAGGATTTCGACGACGTGGTCGATTACAGGCCGAGGGGCGAGATACTGCGCAGGCTGGAGGATCCACAGGATAGGGAGAGACGAGTGATGGAGAAGTATCCGGGCAGAATGAACCACGACCTGTTGCAAAGCGACGAGACACCGTTTCTAACGTTGGACTCCCTGGACGAGGAGGTGGACAGCGACGAGAGCGGTTACGTCGAGGCGCCGCCGAAATCTTTGTTGGGCCAAGACGACCCGAGGAAGGAGGAGGAGGAGGGCGGTGACAACGTGGAACGTTCGCGTCAGGGACAGGAAAAAGTGTTGACGAAAAGCGAAGATTCCAAAGAAACGAAGAACATGGAAGTGGAGGAAGGAGAGGTGGAAAGCGAGGAAGAAGTGGAAACCTCGAAGAAGGATCCTCTGTTGACGGCGGTGGAGAACAATCAGAGGATTAAAGAGAAGGAAAGGGAGAGGAGCGATTTTATTAAGTGCCCTATCTCGGAGACTATCAAGAAACTGGCGAACGCGTCGTTGAAAAGCTCCAAGTCTTTAGAAATGACTACGAACAACTGTTTGAAAGCTTTGAATAATTTAAAGACGTCAAAGTCGTTCGACGGTGTTAAGGCTATCTCGGAGATGGAAGGTGAATCACCGAGCCTTCATCAGAGGAAGAAATTGCTCGCTCAGCAAGGAGTTATCGTTTGAAAGCTTGTCCAAATAACGAGTATATATAAAATAATAAAAAAAAGGAAGCCTAAAGATTAAATCCAGGTCTGTCCTTTCTCTCCGGTGGAACGATAGGCCACTGTACATCACGTATAATAGACTCGTTACGTCGTCATATTTGTTAGAAAATTTTGAAACGGTAGAAAACTTTATGAAAGAATAATAATCAAATGGTATAGTTAACGATGTTCGTTTTGTTTAATCAATAAGAGTTTTTAGTAAAACTGTTATTGTGTCTATGTTATTGATTTAACAGAAACGAAATGCGGTTATCGTGAGAATATGTGTTTGTAGAATTTGCGAGGATATAAATATGTTGTTCTATCGAATTGTTGAGAATCAAATGATTTTTAGGAGGGGGGGGGGATGGAATTCGATATAGTTTAATTCGAATCTGTTGATTTAGGTGCACCGAAGATTGTAAATCTGAAGTTCAGACGAATAAGGATTATTAATTATAACTGTATGATAAAAAAAAAAATGTATTATTCTTGCGAAGCGTGGTACAATTAATTTTCATTGTTTGATTTACGAATGTGTACTTATAATGCAGAGAGAGAGAGAGAGAGAATTAAATGAATTTGACATGTGATTTAAAACTGAACTATTTTTACAAAGTTAGATCCGCACAATCGTAATTATGAATAAAAATAGTTATTTTATATAGATATATTTAATAAATGTTAAAAATAATAGGAATTTAAATTCTTTATTCAAATTTTAAGAGAAAATACTTTCTAAAATTATAAAACAATGTTTTCTCATAAATTTTTCATTAACAATGCTAGTTGCAATTTGTTATGAATATAATAATATATTTCATGCTATTTAAATCCACGCGTTTCATTGCTTGCCGAAAATGAGATTAAAATCTTATTTTGTGTATTAGTCGCAGATTAATTCATTTATAATATGTATATTTTAAGAATTCGAAATGTTATATTTAAATTTATTATTACACGGTTCTTAAACGGGAACAGTGCCATATATATACATATATATGCTCCTAGACTCGAGTAATTCTTCAGGATTTTTATTACAATTTCTATTCTATACTAAACGTGTGTAAAAATTTTTTAGAAAAGAATTTTAATATTATATTATTATTGAATGAATAATCTGGACTAAACACTTTAATAATTGCTCATGTAATTCGGTATCCGATTAGAATCGTGTATTATGATAAATGTCGCGGAAAAAAAATTAAAAATATTGTCACCATTGCTGTACAAGAAAGATTCAAAGATGAATAAAAAAGAAAAAAATTTTTGAAAATCTAAATCGCGTTTTTTTTTTTTATTTTATGATACCTATCCGTTTAAATTAAAAAAAAATTACACTTAACCAAGCATTGTGATTATCACGAGTCAGTCAATAATTACAGTATGCAAAATAGAATAATAGTATTTCAAAATATATCCTTCTGAAGATGCAGGTCAATCAATAGAAGTTGAACTTCTTCATAGGCATAGACGAGATATAAAATAGACCTAATATTCGATAAATTTTTCTGGTCTGGTATGTTGGAGGCACTAAGATCCCATTCTCAACGATTCAGTTTTAAGATTGCAATGTTAAGATTTTAAAATTGGAAATAAAATTAAATTTCAATGTAGTTAAATAAATAATTGTCTGTTTTTATTAAATCTCATCATAAATCGCCGAGCATCGTATCAAAATATTAGAATACATTAGGATACATTTTTATTATTTTCTTTCGATATCGTCTTTTTAGAAATACAATACAAAAAATTTTTTATATTTAAAAAGTATAAGTAAAAATTAAGTCACATTAAATTTTAAACGTGAAATGATAAAAATGTGTTCAATTCAATATTTTATAGGTCGTCTATGATCACGCGCCAAAAGCAAGTGCAGACAAATGACGGCAGGATAAAGCATAAAAATTATGAAATCAGCGCCATCTCTAGAATACCGTAAAGAAAACATAAGTTCACATAAATACAAACTATTTTATTCCATCTTATCTTATATTTTTATATATTATAAATTTTTTTCCTATAAATCGCATTTATAAATTTTTATGTATCTATCATTATATACAAATTACAGATATATTAAATATTGCTTCTTTTTTTTATTATTCATCTTTATATTCTTTTTACATATATTCTTACATAAATGTCTTTTATAATTAATCTAATGCATTCATTTTTTTATCCTAATAGTTAATGAAATACGTTTCGTCGATAAAGAAGCAGCGGATAAAAAGTTTTCAAGATCAACGCCATCTCGCGTTTGGATCACCGAAGCTCCGACTTGTTATTAGCATAGCAGAATATACAAGGAGGTATGCGAATTCACGTGACGTCACAGACAAGGAGAGCAATATTGTGCGAGAGAGACAGAGAACATCTCCCGATACTTTGAGAAAAAAATCATGGAAAAATCATTAATTACTTGTTTTCTACGCAAAATTTCTACACTTTTAAGCTTGCATCTTATAGCTAGAGCTTCAAACAAGTTTCCTGTATCAATTTTAATACGAAAATCTTTTCTATTAATTATTTATTAACGATTAATGTATCATAATTTTACATCGATACATCGAAAATATAATCGTTAATAAATAATTAATAGAAAAGAATTTCGTGTTAAAAAATGACACGAGAAACTTGTTTGAAACTCTAGTTTCAAGTTTCAAGCTTAAAAGTGTAGAAATTTTGCGTAGAAAACGAGTTTAATTAATTAATTTTCAATATGGCGTTTTCGATGTATCGATGTAAAGTTATGATACGTTAATCGTTAATAAATAATTAATAAAAAAGATTTTCGTATTAAATTTGATACAGGAAACTTGTTTGAAGCTCTAGCTATAAGATGCAAGCTTAAAAGTGTAGAAATTTTGCGTAGAAAACAAGTAATTAATGATTTTTCCATGATTTTTTTCTCAAAGTATCGGGAGATGTTCTCTGTCTCTCTCGCACAATATTGCTCTCCTTGTCTGTGACGTCACGTGAATTCGCATACCTCCTTGTATATTCTGCTATGCTAATAACAAGTCGGAGCTTCGGTGATCCAAACGCGAGATGGCGTTGATCTTGAAAACTTTTTATCCGCTGCTTCTTTATCGACGAAACGTATTTCATTAACTATTAGGATAAAAAAATGAATGCATTAGATTAATTATAAATTAAAAGATGTTTAAATAAGAATATTTAAAGGATATAGAGATGAATAATAAAGGAAAGAAGCAATATTTAATATAATTTATATATAATGAAAGATATATAAAAGTTTATAGATGTGATTTATAAAAAATAAATTTATGTAAATATAAAGTATGTGGTATAGTTTTGACAACATATAAACTTTATCGTGATTTTTAATGCAAATTTTTAAAACAAATAAGACAATGGTAAAATAAAATAAAATAGAATATTCAACAGATGGCGCTGTATTCTTTTTCTACTTTATCTTACTTTTAAAAAAATATGTTTATGTCATTTAAAAGATGACGCTAACGATCAATTCTTATCCTATTTCTATATCTTTTTCTATTTTCTGTGTTTTCTTTATATGTTTCATTTCACGGCCACTTTGAAAATGGCACTGATTTTTAAACTATTTTAAACTGGATATTTTTAAACTATCTCTATTCCTCTTTTACTATTTAATCTTTTTATTCATACTTGTTGAATCTATGCATTCATGAATCGGTTTTGATTTTTAACTTTATTTTTTTTATTTTCTTTATGATTATTTGATTATTTTTATCTATTTTACACATACGTTATATATATTTTATATATGTATTTAAATTTTTTCTATAATTTTTTGTAGATCGTCAATTGGAAAAATACAAAGGAAAAATTATTTAAGATTCACAATATATTTAAAAAAAATCAATGAAAATTCATCTTCTTGATCGATCTTCTTATTTTTATTTTTAAATCAACGATGAGAAAGAAATTGGATAATTCAAGGAAAGTATTCTGATTTTGTTAATAAAAACACTTATTCTTATTTTTTTTTTTTAATTTATATTAAAATTTCCAGATCTTTTCTAATAACAATTTAAAAGATGTTTAAATAAGAATATTTAAAGGATATAGAGATGAATAATAAAGGAAAGAAGCAATATTTAATATAATTTATATATAATGAAAGATATATAAAAGTTTATAGATGTGATTTATAAAAAATAAATTTATGTAAATATAAAGTATGTGGTATAGTTTTGACAACATATAAACTTTATCGTGATTTTTAATGCAAATTTTTAAAACAAATAAGACAATGGTAAAATAAAATAAAATAGAATATTCAACAGATGGCGCTGTATTCTTTTTCTACTTTATCTTACTTTTAAAAAATATGTTTATGTCATTTAAAAGATGACGCTAACGATCAATTCTTATCCTATTTCTATATCTTTTTCTATTTTCTGTGTTTTCTTTATATGTTTCATTTCACGGCCACTTTGAAAATGGCACTGATTTTTAAACTATTTTAAACTGGATATTTTTAAACTATCTCTATTCCTCTTTTACTATTTAATCTTTTTATTCATACTTGTTGAATCTATGCATTCATGAATCGGTTTTGATTTTTAACTTTATTTTTTTTATTTTCTTTATGATTATTTGATTATTTTTATCTATTTTACACATACGTTATATATATTTTATATATGTATTTAAATTTTTTCTATAATTTTTTGTAGATCGTCAATTGGAAAAATACAAAGGAAAAATTATTAAGATTCACAATATATTTAAAAAAAATCAATGAAAATTCATCTTCTTGATCGATCTTCTTATTTTTATTTTTAAATCAACGATGAGAAAGAAATTGGATAATTCAAGGAAAGTATTCTGATTTTGTTAATAAAAACACTTATTCTTATTTTTTTTTTTAATTTATATTAAAATTTCCAGATCTTTTCTAATAACAATTTTGTTGATACAATTTTGTTTAATACATTATACCGGAATGGAAAATTTGCAGATATATATTATAAGTTTTAAAACTTTCCCTATTTAAAGTCTAGTTGAACGCATGAAATCCGTTTAATACGCGGTAGTAATGCAAACAATGCGAAAGCAAATAGGAGCAATGCCTTATTGAACGTACGACGACAGCGAAATGGACCTTGCATCTAGTCAAGATCAAGGTACCTCGTGAAGCCGCAGTTTGAAGTCACAGTTCTCCATGGGTATACGATAATGTTGGATATTAGTGTGTACGACTCACACCCACCGATGTATTTTTGAATCCGTGTGACCTACTAACTTGTCCAGTCACGCACACACTCGTATACGGATGTGCATTCAGTGCGCACGCTATAAATGCTATGTAACTACACTACACGAACAGGACCCAGGACCTAACTTTTTTCTCCCGCTTAACTTTCGGTATACGTATCCTTTATTGCCTCGATTTTCGATAATTTTATAAAATCAGTGACACTGATTTTCTCTTCGCTTTGGAAAATCTTCTTCGATCAAAAAAGTCAAATATCGCTCGCACACATTATTTCAACAAATGTATTCACCATTATTGAATGTGAATCCTGAAAAAAGAAATCATATTTAACATACGTTATTTCGAAATTTTTATTAACAAATTTTACAAAAGAATTTTTCGTAAAAAAAATTTTATTACCTAGTAGAGAGGTTATGTGAGCATATATATATATATATCTATATAAGCTGATCGAACAGATAACATGGAAATATTTGAAAACAATTAATTTTTTTTTTTTCCTTCGCTTTCCATCCCCCTTTACTCTCTATTAATCCGTATAACATGATTGCATCAGTAAACATAATAATATTTCAGGTCATAATAATATTTCTCCACTTCTCTATCAACGGTTAATTATTTACGTGTGCAGTTAGGGGAACAGAACATTCAGGCCTGTAAATGCGCTATAATGCATAATCCATAGAAAATCATCCACGGCGATTTTAATGACTAACCTGTATACAGACTCTCGAGCTCTCTCGTGCACGCACACGCGTTTCGACATACAGGTCCACTTGTCTTACGCACACCAACAAGTCCATCTTCTCCGGTTTATCTTACACGTACACGTGATGTATGGTAATATGAAGGCGCATACAGGTACATAATGCCGGTATATGCAGGTAGCGTATATCAGAGGGGCACGTCGCAGGGGCCCCCCCCGATCGACAACCGTGGAGGGGACACGTGGGGTCCCATAGAACGGCGAGTAGCTCGTTGGGGCCCGCACCCATACGCGCGCAACTTGTGAGTAGTGTTAACGGCCTTGCTTTATGTGGGTCATGAAACAAGGTCCCACCAGCACGAGGAGCACAAGAAAACACTGCACGCTTTTAACTCGAGCTCCGCTTGATACTTCTATAGACCTACACACGCGCATGCGCGGCTCTCTCGCGTGCTCATGCGGCTACATGTGGCAGCACAATAGCTCGCGATTTGACAAAAACAAAAAGGCAAACGAATATATTCTATTCCCTATTCTACAAGTTTAAAAGGTGATTATAAATCGTAATCGATACAAAAATTTTATTCCAATCTAATTTTAAATTCTTTATCAAACAGAACATAACCCTTTCCAATCGTATTAACAAAGGATCCACCGCCTACGTAGCGATTCTACAATTTAACGAGGACGTTTAAATTTATGTACAGAGAAAAGTCGAAGTATCTATTGTTAGTTCGTGCTGGATTTATGGAACACATCGAGACTTGCATACACCTTAAAAAATACGATATATATTCACTCTATTTCAAAACTCCTGCTTACCAATAATAGATCACAAGAAGATAAGACGTTACAATACGATACAATAAAAATTGGTGGAATATTTCTTTCTTTATTGACATAAAATAATCGATAATTTTTAACGTTCCTCCTAATTCCCTCCTGTATTCATCTTAAGTAATCGTAAAAACGCACAAACATCATCGATATCTCTTCCATGTGCTGTGCTGTTCCATCCTGATGATCAAAGTAATCAAAGTATCCGATCGGATGAACGCTCTCGCGCGAGCCAGTATTTGTACATTGACATGTAGAGAGGAGGCGAAGCCACCAACGCAATCGGTGCTTTCTATAAACTGCAACCAAGTGCAGCAGTATACCTTCTCTTCCTGGTGAGCACACGGACACAACGTGTCTACGTATACGCATCGTTACGCCGTCCTTTTTAAATTGGTGTTATTTACTCGATCGTTGGACGATCGTGAAATTTCGCAAATGGAATAATAACGAGGTGTTGTCCCGATCCTTGATTCTCTAGATCGTGTGTATACAACAGTGTGGATATAACAACGTAGCGAGAACAACAACGGATATATAATGCCGAGGGTACAGTTATCGCGATATTAAAATGGCACTTATTCTAATAATTTATCGCCAGAATCTTTCTTACGTAATAATTTTACCATAACAAGACGATGAAAATCATTCACGATTTAGAAGTATCTTTCAAACACTTCTCGTTCGGAATACACGGTTTCCTCGGTTTTCTAGAACATAGTCGAACATATTCGCGTACAATACAACAGCCTTTAAATTAAAATCCGAGCCCATTACGTTTGATTTATCGTTTTGTTTAACGGTCGAAAACATTCCCCTCACGAATCGTATGTTCCTTTTCTTTTTTTTTTTTTTTTTATTCATCCGGAAAAATCGCTTGCCTAACGATTTGCAGTGCAAGTGATTAAACGAAGTGAATTTTAATGTAATCCGTGTACAATCTTTACAAAAACAAGTGTGTCACAAAGTATATATATATATACTTTCACTGAAGCAAGTTAAAATAGATCGTGGTAGTGTTGCTTGCCATCATCAACTTTTACAACTCTGCTCTATGTAACGTGCCTCTTATAAACAACATGTAATAAGAACGATCGATTGAAATCAAAAAAAAAATTCAAAGACAAGCAATAAGAGATAAGGAAAAAATAATCCAATGCTTCTACAGCTTCTTTCTTCCAAATAGATAATTCCGTTTAATTTTCGCGATTGTTGTGGCGAAGGAAGGAGACACGAAGGTCGAGAACATCGTGGAATGAGAAGGGAGGGGAGAGTAGTCGCTCGCTCGTGGAAGGTGGTCCGTTCACGTATCGAGCTAAAACGGCGATAATTTTCGAACGCGCCCCGTGCAACACCGTTGCGCACGGTGTTGTATGCGTGCGCACGCGCGACAATGGCAGCGATGCCAAGAGAAATCGAACTTGATCGTTAAGCGAGCCGCGACGTGAGCTCGGCCCATTAGCCGCGTTGTTGTTGCCGACGCGTGCAACGACGGTTTGTGGCCGTTGCGCCGAAAAAAACGTGGCTAGGTTAAGTCGTGGAGAAACGTGGATCGATGATTTTGTTGCTTTTTCTTTTTTTCTTCGAGAAAAAGTTAAAAAAAAAAGGAAAGAGAAAGGGCAGAAAGATCGAGGAGGAAGAAAATGATTCCAAGTTGGGAAGCAGTTAAAGAAAGAAGATTAAAATTAAAGACTACTTTTCTTAACGATAACCTTTTTTGATAAACTTTCAAACTAATTTAACAAACGCAGAGAAGAGATTTTCATCGAAGCATTTTGTATTGTATTAGTTGAAACGAATCTGTCTGGAAAGCAGCATTATATTATCTTAGGTATCCGAATCAGTGACGTTAAAACCATAATCACATAGCTCGTTAGTCCCGTAGCCAATTAGGATCTTCAATTTATCGTTGATCGATCGCCGATTCTTCCTTTGTGTATAAGTTATAAATTACCCATTATGCGTACGTCAAAAATATGCTAATGTCCTCGTCGGGGTACCGTTAGAACTGATAAGCGAGAGAGAGGAGAGAGAGAGAGAGAGGAGGGGAGGGGGGAAGGAAGGCGAGGTCGACC